AAACAGCTGAAATATTTTGATAAATCCTAACATAGTTGCTCTTGCCTCTTTGGGTGAGTTTCCTTATCTATAAAATTTGATTGGATGAGATAATATGTTAAGTTCCTTCCAGTTTTAACACTGTTTAATTTTACATTTTAAAAGTATTCAAGATAACCTACCTTCTGTAAATGTAACTGTCACAGCCTCTTTGAGAATATTCCCACTATCTGTAGTCCACTGAAGCTGAAACGGGAACATTTATTTCAGTAAAAATAAAGCATTTAAATTGAAAAAAATCTTAAAACATCAATACAGCTGTCATATTTTATTGTCAAAGTATAATTGTGCTTTATTCTGCAATTATTCTTCACTTGTTGACATTCTCAAAGCATAAATATACTTCACTATCCACATACATTAGGTTCCCAAGTTCAGATAGCAATAATTTGGATAGTAAGTGTACATAGCAAGGACCACTGCTAACCAAATCTGTTTTAGTTCCTGAATTTTGGAAAGCAAGGAATAGCAGTTATAGCTTTAAAGAAATCCAAATCTATTCAGTTACCAAATTTGGATAGTAAAAGTTAGGAGAGCAAAGGATATTGCTACTCAGATTTTAATGCCATAATCACTGCCTGTATTGTAATTAGTAGTTTCTGGGTAATTACAGTAATCTCTTTAGAGTAGGCAAAATTTTCATAGAAATAGCTGATATTCAGGAGGAAACTACAGTATCAAAGTATGAAGTAAAACTGTTATCCATAGATGGCATATGGAACCAAAATCATCACTTTGTATTACTAAAATCTGAAGCATTCTATTTAAACTTGCCAATCTATTTTAAAAAGGGGGAGATATACACAGTGTGTAATCAATAAATGTCTGGTATTTTTTTTTTTTGAAATGTAATTGAGTATACATATTTGTGGGGTACAAAGTCGAATATCAATACCTGTATACAAAGTGTGATGATCAAATCAGGATAATTAGCATATTCATCCTTACAAAACTTAATCATTTCCTTGTGATGAGGACATTCGATCCCCTCTCTTCTAACCATTTGATAACATGCAGTAAATTAATGTTAATTATACATGCCTAGCTTGACTGCACACCATTTCTATTTCTTTCTTTTTTTTTTTTTTGAAATGTAATTGAGTATACATATTTGTGGGGTACAAAGTCGAATATCAATACCTGTATACAAAGTGTGATGATCAAATCAGGATAATTAGCATATTCATCCTTACAAAACTTAATCATTTCCTTGTGATGAGGACATTCGATCCCCTCTCTTCTAACCATTTGATAACATGCAGTAAATTAATGTTAATTATACATGCCTAGCTTGACTGCACACCAATAGAACTTATTTTTCCTAACTAGCTGTTTTGTGTCCATTAACCAATTTCTCACTGTCTTTTTACCCCTGCCTCTAGTAACCAGAGTTCTGTTCCCTCCCTCTGAAAGGGAGAGAAATTATTATTTTTTGTTTCTTTCTTTTCATTTATGTTGTAAATGTCTGTTAAATAAGAAATAACTTTTATAGATAAGAAATCTGATTAAAAGTGAAAATTAGTATTTTTATTATAGTCAGAGTTGGAAATGCACTGACTTTTCGTCTTGTGAGAGCAATAGAAAAGTTATTATTGGAAAGTTCATGTTGTTTACATTAAATTTTAAAAAGTGACTATTTTTTCTTATATCACAGTTTTTCAGATGGCCTAATAGTGGCCATCCCTTTGCCAAATACTAATAGAAACTAAGAAAGATACTGTAAAAAAACATGGGATTATGGTTGTTATCATACCGTTGCTGGAATAATCTCTGAATTATATACCATGTCTCCATTTCTCAAGGATTTCTGTACCTCATGGATGTGATTTTTTATATCATTTACAGTTGGAAAAAAAGATAAATTATGCCTTTCAGGTACCTCATCAGGTTTGAACAGTTCCCTTTCAACAAATTTTCTGCGGAGAATACAAAATAAAATAAAAACTTAAACCATCTAGCAATATACATTTAGATCAAAAGAGAGAAATGTTATCTTTTACCATCAACTTCACAGCTCTATAAGTAATTTATATTTCCCCACTTTTTTCCACATATTAAATCATAGAATTCATGCAGATTAAAGAGATATAATATTTTAATTGGTTAAACATTTATATACATTAGAGTGAGCTTTGATATTTTTATAAATTTAATTTAAAGGAACCATTATTTTCAGTTTAAGTATAATGTTTTAAATGCTTACTATGCCAGGCACTGTATCAAACACCTCACATCAAGTATCTCCTTTAACTCTTACTATGATTCTGTGGTGTAGGTACAATTATCATTCCCACTTTACAGATGAGGGAATGGAGGACTGCAGAAGTTGAATAATTTGACCAGTTATACACCAACTAGTAAGTAAGACAGCTTGGTCCTATATCCAGGTTATATACATAAACATCACATTATACTGCTTCCGAAAGGCATAAATTAATATTACATGAAATATGATGTGCTCAAATTTTACAAGTAGACAAAAGAGAAGATGAAAATAGAAGGCAGCATTGCTACACAACTGAATAAAAAATAAATCCAGTACATAAAATAAATGAGAAAGTTTAACACTACATTTGGTGGACTAAATCACAGAGCTGTATATAACTCTGTTCTTAAGATCCAGGTTTAGTAAATAGTGAATGGCTTTATCAAATTTTGGCTTTGTTCTAATGATGACCCAATGGAAATACATATAAAGTGTCTAAGAAAGTTGTTAAATAGAAAAATCATGTATTAATTAAGAAATATTCTAGGAAGTACCCATTTTGTTGTTCAGATTGGACTACAAAGTAACCAACAGAAGCAAGGGTAAGTACCAGAAATCATGGTGATGAGCATAGGCTGTAGAGTTAGGCCAAAATTTCAGGTCTGCCTCTGCTTCTTAAACCAATTATTTAACCATTCTGAGTCTCCATTTTCTCATATGTGTAATGGTGATAAATATACCAACTTTACAGAGCTAAAACTAAGTGAGATTATGCATGTAGAGAGTTTAGCAGAATACCTGGCACATATATAGTAAGAGCAACATAATGATAATAGTAATAATAATTATTATTATTCCTGAGTAGCAGTAAAACTAGACCAGAGTACTACGAATAAAGTTTCATTGGACAAAGAACTATCCAAATTCTTTTGCTGTAATAAAATTTACTTACATTTCAAATAGCTTGAAATAAGTATCTTGGCCTAGGTTTTTAAATCTTTGATTCTATAAGGGTTTTTTTTTTTTTTTCTCTAATGGTATTTATTACATCATTCAATTTATATGTCACTTAGAAATAGTCCAATTTGCCAAACCTGAATATGGAATATCTCAAATGAATAATTAGAATAAGAAGCCTTATTATACTATGGCTTGCCAAACAGTTGCTGGAAAATGATCAGTTTATAAATAATAACATCTTAATAAATTAATAAACTATATCCCTTATCTACTCTGATAGCTTATATTCTGGAAAATATAAACTAACAAACAAAAACGAGAAATATAAAATAACAATTTGCTTCTACTGTACCTTAGCTGTTTCCTTACTGCATACACTTGTTCTATTCCCTGTGATACTAATTCTTGAATCTTATGTGCTACTTGAGGATGTAGACGTGAGGGTAGTACACAATTCTCATCTCTAACTTCAGTTTCCTCTTCTTCAAGAGAAGACATAGGAAAAGCAGAAGGTGACAAAGGGAGGCAGGAAGTCTCTAACTCGTGATACTGATGAGCTTGCTGTGTAGGTAACTGTACATACCATCTGATAAGAGAAAATATTTGTAATTATTAAAATTTAAATATTAAAATTATTTCATATTGTTAGACAAAGGCAGGAATCATAATTACTTAGGTTAATACTAAAGAGAAAGAATAATTTTAAGAAAAAATTATATATGATTATACTTATTAAATAAAATTTAAAATGCCTTCTGCTTAACTCTTCTAAATCAGCTTTATACCCAATTAAATAAAAATCTTTATACCTTTATAGACTTTCACTGTGGCCCTAAAGTTGAGGGGGATGCAGGGATTAAGTATGTATGATAATAGTATTTTAAATTTCATATTACGTAAATAAAGACAACATTGTAAGTCATCATCTTTTGAACTGTGTATTTTCCCATTCATCAAACATTTATCCCAAATAACACTTCTTTGTTGCACCTACCATCCTTCTAACCATTCAGAGCCTGTCAAAATTGAGCTATATGAGAGAATCTTCCTTTACAGGAAGTTCAACATACTGCCTCTACAGCACTTCCAGTTCCTGTTGGCCCAATAAGCAAGAGAATCAACTAAAAGGTGAATACAGGTCTCTTGGACAGTAATGCAAAAAAACAGATGCTAGGAAAATGAACTGATCTATTTTAATCAATATTTTTGTACAAAATTCTTACAATAACTGATACTGCATGAAATGGAGCCTAGTTAAAAATTATACACAATATCCACCAAACTGAAGGATCTAATTATTGATTCAATTTATTTTTCATATGCCTAAAGGTTATTTTTAAAAATCAAACAAAAACTATATTCCACATGCTCAACCCCATTATGCAATGGCAAATTCTTCACATGGACTGACACAGGAATTTTGTACAGTAAAAGAATTTGGAAAGTAAGAAAACAAGGTACTATTTCTTCTTATTTAAAACTTAAACCATAAAAGGTGTAAGATGAAATTTTATTTAGGACTTAGAACTCATTTCTGGCTGCCATAAGTAATCAAAGATGGATTAAAAAAATATACGGGTGGCTGCAAGTTCTGCTCCTAGTAAGTATCTGAAACGAAGTACTAAACATATAATAAAATGTGTTGCTAAAGATGTATTTGTCATTTTGGGAAAAACTTCACATGGTATATAACATACAGTATACGGTATATAGCATGGTAGGTATAATTCTTTGGTCAGAATTATCTACAACCTTTGGCTAATAAACTCAAAGGCTTATACAATGGCAAATCAATTTAATATCTAGGGAACTATGAGTGAGATATCTACCTTATAAAATCATTTCTTAATGAAATAATTTGAAAACTTTACTATAATTTCTCTTACAAAAGAATTCTTGCAAATGGGACTAATTAATTTGTAAAATAAGAGAACTATATAAATGTCATACCTAAGAACACCACCAGCATCTACCAAGTTCTTCTTTAGCATGTTAAAGGCTTTCTCCTGCTCCATTCTGATGATTTTCTTGTCAATTTTGGGGTCTGTAGGAACTCTATACTCAGGAAACTTCTGTACCTTTTTAATGTAAATCCTTTATACAAGATAAAGAAGAATTTATTTCATTATATTATAATCTCAAGAAAATCTAATTTATCAACCAGAGTTTAAGATTTAAATTTAGAGAAAATTCTGTTTATCTAGAAAGTATTCAGAAGCTTATGTGAAAAACATGCCATATACTCAGTGCACAATACTTAGCAAATTAACAATAATCATGTCTTGATTAAAAATACCTAAGTATTTAAAGATTTTAACATTTTTTTTCTGGATTTGCCTATTCTCCATTCTCCTGGAAGTCATAATCACCTCATGCCTGGATTACTTTAAGAACCTCCTTTCAGGCCTCTGTACTTCCAGTCTTTTGTTACTTAAATCCATTTGATACATCAATGCCACAATAATTCTCCACATTTGTATTCCTCTGTTGAAGAATCTGTCTGCTCTTCAATGAAGTACAAATTTCTTGGCATCATTCAGGGTACTCCATATGATTCTAACTTATTTACCTAACTTACTTTCTATTACTTCAAATATAAAATTTCTTTTCCTGTGAAGTTCATCTTCTCAATGTCCTTTCTTCCTCTGTTACTAAATATGCAGTTGTTCCATATCTTTATTTACGTGGTTCTCCTAGCCTACAAAATCTTCCCTCTCTCTACCTACCCAAATTCAATCTAAACTTCAACATCCAGGTTAAATTGCACTTTCTTTCCTGCTATGAGTTTGCACAGATATATATCCCTTCTCTGGATACCTGTAATAGGTAGCTAATCACACATGTCACAATATATACTGACATCCAGGTTAAATTGCACTTTCTTTCCTGCTATGAGTTTGCACAGATATATATCCCTTCTTTGGATACCTGTAATAGGTAGCTAATCACACATGTCACAATATATACTGTACTACTATGTTCTCTACTAGTTTCTTTTTTCCTGATCCATCCTAATGACATTTTAAGTTTCCAAAATTAAATAAAATCTTATGCCTCATTTGGTCTCCCTCCTTCCTATGACACCCAATGTAGTTTCTGGGCATAGATTAGATATTTAAAAAGTACTTGTAGGAATGATGGAAAATAAAATAGTTTCTCCACATATGCAGGTTTTCTGCCAAGCTATACCTAAAGTTTTTATATTGCTTATATTTAAAAAGCAGTTTAAAGTTTTGTTTCATGTTCAGGTTTAAATAATGCCTACAGTTAACATTACCAAATTAAATATGAAAAGCTTTCTAACCAAGCTTTAAAAACTTCTTGAGAATGCTGAATTTCGTAATATAAGATGTGATACTAAAATGTTTCAAAGATCAAATAAGTCCAACCATTACAAATCTTAAAAATTTCTATTTTACTTAATAATTTAAAACACTTTCAATGTCAGAAAAAAAGAATATTAGTAAAAAACATTATAAAAATCTTTCACCAGTTCACATTTTTATTCTCACCCATAGGAATGACTACCCTATAGTTCTATTCTACCTAGAACTTACTGTGTTGGTCTCATACTTCACTGGTATGAATGCAAATTGGTAAAATCTCTCTAAAATGCAACATTGCAATACCTGTCAAGATTTAAAAAGGATATAAACTCTGCCCTAGCTTTTGCACAAATACACAAATATGTACCTTATTAACTGCAGCTTTGTATGTAATAATAAAGAGTACATTTCAAATGTTACCTGTCTGTCATTAGAGGACTAATTAAATGATAATTCATCCATAAATGGAATAGTATCAGGCTATTAAAAAGAAAGAAACTGTGCTTTTATATTACAAATATGAAGTTAGCTTTGGGGCATATTGGGAATAAAAAAAGCAAAGTGTACAGACTACATGTCAATATATTCACACTAGTATGTATATATCTGTATAGTAGATAACCACTACTAGCTTTCAGATTGGGACTAGATCAATGTGAATTCATAATAGGAAAGAAGGTACGCTACTATCTAACTTTAAGGAAAGAAAATATAAGTAAGTTTTATGGAGATCTTCAATATGTTTATCGGAGTAGAGAAGTGTATATGTATATTTACATGCATGTATACACACAGAATATCTCTGGAAGATAACTTAAGAGACTGATAAGAGTCGTTGCCTTAAAGAGGAACATAGGGAACGAGGGAAGAGAAAACTTAGAATTCACGGTATATTTTTTGGCACTGTTTAAACTTAACAAAAATTTGCATATTAGCTATTCAAAAACAAGTACATAATAAAAAGCAAATAAAAGAAAATAAAGCTTACCGGGCTGGACAAGTGGCTTTGTAGAGCTGACAAGTCCTGCTTTCTTGCTCACTGATTTTTTTTAACTGGAAACCTTTTCTCCTTGGCCCATACTGACACTCCATTACCACGGCTCTACTCCCTGTGGAGTAGATATTATTGATGTTAATTGAAGTATCCATCTATTTTAGACATTAGATTAAAAATAACTTGATGGTGGCAATGTCAATATCTATACTTCTAATTACACAACTTTTAGGAAAGAAAACAGTAAGTCTTACTAAGATGTACAATCATGAAAATCTAAAAGTTTATTGTAAAATTTACCAAATGTCCCATAATTATGGTAAGGAAATTTGCAAATATCACATTTACTGAATGTCTACTGATATTTACATACATATGATTCTTAATAATAATAAAATTTACTACTTTATAAATATAAATTAGCAAATGCTACATTTGGTTAATAAATATTAATATCACTTAAAAACTTATATTTTTTTTTTTTGTCTTTTGTCTAAATATAAATTAGCAAATGCTACATTTGGTTAATAAATATTAATATCACTTAAAAACTTATTTTTTTTTTTTTGTCTTTTGTCTTTTTCCATGTCCGGCAATGGGATCGCAACCCTCGGTGTTGCTCCTGCGCCTCGCTCAGCCAGTGACCGGGAACCGGTCTGTATGTGGGATCCGAACCCTCGGGCGGGAGCACCGCCGCGCTTCCCAAGCGGCGCGCTATCCAGTGCGCCACCGGGCCGGCCCAAAAACTTATTTCTTTTTATAATTATTTATTTTCTTATTTCTATTTGGGCTATTAGAGTAATGTGGTAACCAGCCTCTAACATGGCACCCAATGATCCCTGTCTCCTAATATTCATGTCCTTGTGTAATCCCCTCCCCTTGAGCATGGGCTGGACTTATTAACTTACTTCTAATGAATATGGCAGAAGTGATAGGATGTTATTTTTGATATTAGGTTATAAAAAGACTGTAACTTCCATCTTGGGTTATCTCTCTTGCTCTTGCTTGGATTACTCTCTCTGGGCGAAAGTGCTGCCATGTGGTAAGGGAGATCTGTGGAAAGGCCCATGTGGCAAGGAATAAGGCCTGCAAACAGCCACAGGAGTGAGCTTGGAAGCAGATCCCCCTCCAGTCAAGCTGTGAGATGACTGCAGCTCCAGCCAACACCTTAACTGCAGTTTTGTGAGAGAACCTGAGGCAGAACCACCTTGCCAAGTCACTCTTGGATTCCTAACCCACAGAAACTGAGAAAATAAATGTTTGTTGTTTTCAGCCACCATGTTTGGGGAAATTTGTTACACAGCAATAAATAATACAAAAAAGTAGATGTGAAAACTGTACAGTTTAAGATTTTAAGCTGAATATTCTATTCTACTATAGGATACAGCAAACGTTTAAAACATAAAACAAAAAACATTAATCATAAATAAAAATGTTGACAAAGCTGACATTAAAATTTAAAAGTTCTGGGCCGGCCCGGTGGCGGACTGGAGAGTGCACTGCTTGGGAGCGCGGCGGCGCTCCCGCTGAGGGTTCGGATCCCATGTGGAGACCGGTTCCCGCTCACTGGCTGAGAGCGGTGCAGGCGCGACACTGAGGGTTGCGATCCCATTACCGGTCAGTAAAAAAGACAAAAAGGAATAAAAAAAAAAATTTTTTTTAAGTTCTGTTTAAAAGATACAATAAATAAAGGTAAAAGAAAATTAACTGTTTGAGAAACAACATTTTATTATACATATAATAAAGAATTACTATGCAGAATATAAAGAACCATAAATCACTAAAACAAAACAAAACAAAACAAAAAAAGAAATGACCAAACAAAAATGGGCAAAGGCTAAGAATAGGCAACTCAGAAAGAAAGAAAAAGGTTGTAAATGAACAAATAAAAAGATGTTTAACTTCACTAGTAAACAGGGACACACAAATTAAAAAGATAGTAAAATACTATTTCACACTCCTCATACTGGCAAAAATAAAAACGTTTGGCAATACTTGAAAACAACTGAATTCACTGATCAATCTGAACACCAGAAGTAGAGAGACACATAGAAAGTAATAAGTACATAACAAATCTATGAAGTATACTTATAAAAATCAAATCTTCATTTAATCAAGGCTCTAAATATAGCAGTTTACAGAAAATGTAGGAGACAAAAGAACATGTTAAATTATACCACAGAGACGGAATCAGCAAAATCCAGAACATGATAAACTTAACAGTACAAACTACCTAGAAGAAAAGAGGAGATAAATTTTTTAGATAAAAAGAAATTTAAGAGATATATTAACCGAATGCAATCCGTGGACCTTGTTTGGATCTGAATTTGAACAAACTTTTTTTTTTTCCTTTTTGTCTTTTTTTACTGACTGGTAACGGGATCGTAACCCTCGGTGTCGCGCCCATACCGGGGACCGGCAATGGGCTCACAACCCTTGGTGTTGCGCCCGCACTGCGCTCAGCCAGTGAGCGGGAACCGGTCTCCACATGGCATCTGAACCCTCGGCGGTAGCGCCGCCGCACTCCCAAGCGGCGCACTCTCCAGTGCACCACCGGGCCGGCCCTGAATTTGAACAAACTTTTAGGGGAAAAAAACACTGTGAGATAAGTGGAAAATGTAAACATTGGACATTTTATAATATTAAGAAATTACTGTAAATTCTTTTAAAGTGTGATGAGATTATTGTATATGTGTGTACATATATACACATATGTATATACATATGTATATAGAGCCCTTATCTTTTAGAAATATATGCTTTAGTATATACTATATACTTTAGTAATTATAGATAAAATGATATGATACCTGAAATTTGCTGCAAAATCATCTGAGGGAATTAGGAAGTAGGTAGCAGTACAGATGAGACAAGACCGACCATAAGCTGATATTGCTGAAGCTGGATGATAGATACCTGTAGTCATGGGGTGTCTAACTTCTATTTGACACACACATGAAAATTTCCATAATACAAAGATTTTTTAAAGTTTTACAATGCTAAGTCATAGAGTACATGTAGGGAAGGGAAATTTTCACACATTACTGATAGGAGTGAACACTGGTACAGGTCATCAATCCCTTATGTATAAATCTGAAATCTAACAATCTCAGAAAACAAAGTTTTTTTGAAACTCTCTTGGCTGCAAGACCTGACCTGCACTGTGTCAGGATATTTGCAGTCTTTATTTATTTCTGTTAGTGTGACTATCCATAAAGAATTACTGTTTGGGCCAGCCCATGGCTTACTCGGGAGAGTGCGGTGCTCGTAACACCAAGGCCACAGGTTCGGATCCTATATAAGGATGGCTGGTTGGCTCACTGGCTGAGCGTGGTGCTGACAACACCAAGCCAAGGGCTGAGATCCCCTTACCAGTCATCTTTTTAAAAAAAAAAAAAAAATTACTGTTTGATTATGTTATAAAGTCTAGAGAATACTTGGCTAAAAGTGTTCTATATATTACTATATTACATTCCAAAAATTCAGAATTCTGAAATATGTCTGGACCCAAAATTTCAGAGAATAGACTCTGAACCTGTACAACCACTTTAAAGAGCAATTTGAAATAATATTGTAAAGATAAAATGGGCATACTTCACAACCAGCAATTCCACTTTAAGGCATACACTCTAAAAAAACTAATTACACCTTTTCATCAGGTAACATATAGTGTGGAGGTCTAACAGCATTCTCTACAATAAAGAAAACTTGGAAATAACCTAAATGATAGTCAGTAGAAAAATAATTGTGGTTTGGTCATATTCTAGAATATTATACAATAGTTAAACTGGATTAACTAGGATCTATAAGTATCAATATGGCTAGATCTCAAAAAATAAGGGTGAGTGAAAAAAATTGCAAAACAATGTCTATAGTTTACTATTTATGTATATTTTTAAGTATTCAAAACATATAATGTATTATTGTAAATACAATATTTATGTTAAAGTATAAAAATATGGACTGGAAAAATACACACCAAATTCATTTAGTAGTTACCTGTGGAATCTAAAGAAGGGAATTAGAATTAGGGAGGGGAAAAGTAGGACTTTAGGACTTCAAGTTTATTATTAATGTTGCATTTCTTTAACAAAATACTGATGAAACCCAGGCAGAATGGGTTACATTTATCTCATATTCCCTTAATTATTTCTCATTAACTTAGAGATCCATGATGAGATTACAGCTCTTACAGCTAGAATAGTGACTCCATAGTCCTGAAATAGATCACTTATCTTTAGGTTCTTTGGGGTCTGACTAGTCCGAGTATAGATCTCTGGGGATGGCTTGAAACTCTACTGCCTTACTAAACACTAACCCAGTGTCTGAAAATACTGTATGTACAAACCCAATGCTTAAGAACTTTAATACTAGAATTTGATATAATAACTCCCGATTGTATACAAATTCCATACAAAACTCTAGAGTTATAAGCTACATAAAATAGACACAAATTTGTCCCACAAGACAAATTAAGAGGGAAGGAGAAAATATCTAAATCAGAAGGGGAAAAACAGCAGATATATATATTATAATAATAAAATTGCCCTTTTAATATTTTATTACATAGGTCTACCTGGAATTTCAGCATTTTATTTTCTACTTATCAGAATAATATATAAAGGACTCATTATTTACTCATTCTGATATGTTAAAATGCAATTTTACAACATAAATTAATTGGTTAAATTTACTATAAGTTCTCTTTTTAGTTTAATATGCATTTTCATCAATTCACATTCAGTTGTCACTACCAAAATGAAAATGTATCACCTTAGGAAAATCACATTTTCACAATGGACGATGGATACTGCTGAACCTCTTTTAAAAATTCTTTTAAAAAGTACCTGCATTGACAAATGGGATTCCATCGTATGGGACATACTGGGATTTCCACATCAAACGTGTAGCAGGCTTGGCTGGGCTTGGAGACTGGCGAGTTCCCCAAACACTCTGTGTTTGCTGCTTGTGAAATGTTAGGACACTCTCTAATTCAGTCTCACTTACACAGTAGCCCCGGTATGAATCTCCAATTTTCTGCATGTGGTAGAAGTTAAATAACAAAATTATTAGCAAATACATTTCAATGCACAATAAACTTAATGAGATGGTTGTCCAAGGTAAAAGACTCATCAGCTTTCACAAGAGAATGACATTCATTCTCTCAGATCAATGGTCTATTACAACCAGTGGATATGATCTGAATTTAACCAGTATCATCAAATAAATATTCCCCAGCAATTTGTTAGTGAAGATAACTCACTGCCACACTATCTTTATCAAAATTTTGTTTGAGAGAAATAACATTTAGAGAGGATAGCTTGAGGAATACACAGTATATCCATTCTTGCAGATACTTAAAATTCTACCCTGATCAGCATAAAACTAGCTACAAAGCTGAATGGATTATAAAACAAGAACCAACAACATGCTGACTACAAGAAATTCACTTCACCTATAAAGACACACATCAACTGAAAGTGAAGAAATGGAAAAAGATATTTCAAGCAAAAGAAAACTAAAAAAGAGCAGGAATAGTTATACATATACCAGATAAAATAGACTTCAAGCCAAGGAAAGTAAAAAAGATAAGGTCATTATATAATGATAAAGGGATCAATTCAACAAGAGGATATAACAATTCTAAACATATATACACTCAACTCTGGAGCACCCAGTTACATAAAGTAATTACTAATAGACCTAATGGGAGATATAGACTCTAACACAATAATAGTTGGGAACTGTAACATCCCACTTTCAGCAAAGGACAGATCATCCAGAGAGAAAATTAATCAGGAAACACCAAAATTAATCTCCACTTTAGGCCGATTGGACCTAATGGATATTTATAGAACATTTTATCCAACAGCTGCAGAATATACATTCTTCTCAGCAGTGTATGGAACACTCTTTAGAATAGACCAAATGTGTGCTTATGAAACAGCTGTAGAGAAATTTTTAAAACCAAAATATCACTACCTTGTCTGACCACAATGGAGTAAAACTAGAAATCAACAACAGAAGGGACACTAGAAACTTTACAAATACGTGGAAATTAAACAACATGTTCCTAAGCAACAAAAGGGTCAAAGAAGAAATCAAAAAGGAAATTAAAAAATTTCTGGAAACAAATGAAAATGAAAACACAACATACCAGAACCTATGAGATACAGCAAAAGGAGTTCTAAGAGGAATATTTATGGCCATAAATGCCTACATCCAAAAAGAAGAAAGACTAAATAAACAACTTAATGTTACACTTTGAGGAATGAGAATAACAAGAATAAACCAAACCCAAAATCAGTAGGAGAGAAATAACAAATATTAGAGCAGAAATAAATGAATTAGAGATTAAAAAAACAATGCAAAAGATCGATGAAACAAAGAGTTGGTTTTCTTAAAAGATAAACAAAACCGATTAAACCTATAGCTGGACTAATGAAGAAAAAAATAACACTCACATACATAAAATTAGAAATGAAAAATGAGGGGCTGGCCAATTAACTCAGTTGGTTAGAGTGTCACCTTGAAACACTTGTACTGGCCAGCTGCCCCTACCCCACCAAGAAATTAAAATAAAATAAAAAATAAAAAGAAATGAAAAAGAAAACATTATAACTGATACCACAGAAATACAAAGGACCATAAGAGAATATTACAAACAACTACATGTGAACAAACTGGAAAACTGGTAAGAAATGGATAAATTCTTGGACATATACAACTTACCAAGGTTGAATCATGAAGAACCAGAAAACCTAAACATACCAATAATGAGTAATGAGATTGAAGCAGTAAAAAAAAGCCTCCCATCAAAGAAAACCCAATGGCCAGATGGCTTTACTGCCAAATTCTCCCAAACATTTAAAGAATACCAATTCTTTTCAAATTCTTCCAAAAAACTGAAGAGGGGAGAATACTTTCAAACCCAATCTATGAGGCCAGCATTACCCTTATACCAAAACTGGAAAAAGATACAACAACAACAACCAAAAACTACAGACCAATATCAGTAATGAACATAGATGTGAAGATCCTCATCAAAATATTAGCAGACTCTGACAACACATTAAAAAGATCATTCACCATGATCAAGTGGGATTCATCCTAGAGATGCAAGGATGGCTCAACATATGTAAATCAATAAATATAATACATCACATTAACAGAATGAAGAAAAAAAACTATATAAATATTTCAATAGATGCAGAAAAAGCATTTGACAAAATCCAACACAACTTCATGATAAAAACACTCAACAAGATGGGTATAGAAGGAATGTACCTCAACACAAAAAAGGCCATATACAATAAACCCACAGCTAATATCATACTGAATGGACATAAATGGGAGGTTTTTCCTCTAAAATCTGAAACAAGACGAGGATGACCACTTTCCCTATTCTTATTCATCATAGTACTGGAAGTTCTAGCCAGTGCAATAAGCCAAGCAATAAAGGGCATACATGGGCTGGCCAGTTAGCTCACTTAGTTAGAATGTGGTGCTGATAACATCAAGGTCATTTGGATCTCTGTACTGGCCAGCCATCAAAAAATAAAAATAAAAAATAAAAAAAAGAGCATCCAAATCAGAAAGGAGAAATTCAAACTATCCTTATTTGCAGATGACATAATCATATATATAGAAAACCCCAAAGACTCCACCAAAAAAAATTACTAGAACTAATAAATGAATTCAGTATACTGGCAGGATACAAAATCAACACACAAAAATCAATAGCCTTCCTATATGCCAATAACAAAATAGCTAAAGAAGAAATCAAGAAAGTAATCCCATTCACAATAGTTACCAAAAATATTAAATACTCAGGAATAAATTTAACCAAGGAGGTGAAAGACTTCTACGATGAAAAGTATGAAACAATGGTGAAAAAAATTGAAGAGGATGTAAATGGAAAGATACCCCATGTTCATGGGTTGGAAGAATTAACATCATCAACATGTCCATATTATACAAAGCAATCTACACATTCAACACAATTCCTATAAAATGCCAATGACATTCTTCACAGAAATAGAAAAACTATCTTAAAATTTGCACGGAACCACAAAAGACCCCATAAAGCTAGAGCAATCTTGAATAAAAAGAACAAAGTTGGAGGCATCACACTTCTTGACTTCAAAATATACTATAAAGCTATAGCAACCAAAACATGGTACTGGCATAAAAACAGACAAATAGACCAATGGAACAGAATAGACAGCCCAGAAATAAATCCATATACTAACAGCCAATTGATTTTTGACAAAGGTGCCAAGAATGTTCAGTGGGGGGCCGGCCCAGTGGCGCACCAGAGAGTGCACCACTTGGGAGCGTGGCGGCGCTCCCGCCGAGGGTTCGGATCCCATGTGGAGACTGGTTCCCACTCACTGGTTGAATGCGGTGCGGACGCAACACTGAGGGTTGCGATCCCGTTGCCGGTCAGTTAAAAAAAAAAAAAAAAAAAAAAAAAGACAAAAAGGAAAAAAAAAAAAAAAGAATGTTCAGTGGGGAAAGGACAGCCTCTTCTATAAATGATGCTGGGAAAACTGGATATTCACATGCAGAAGATTGAAACTAGACCCCTATCTCCTCTCATCATACTCAAAAATCAACTCAAAATGGATTAAAGACCTAAACTTTTTTTTTTTTTTTCTTAAAGATGACGGGTAAGGGGATCTTAACCCTTGACTTGGTGTTGTCAGCACCACGCTCAGCCAGTGAGCGAACCGGCCATCCCTATATGGGATCCGAACCCATGGCCTTGGTGTTATCAGCACCGCACTCTACCGAGTGAGCCACGGGCCGGCCCAAAGACCTAAATTTAAGACACAAAGCTATGAAATTATTAAAAGAAAATGTAGAGGAAACGCTACACGAAATGGGAGTGGGCAGCACTTTTTTGAGTGAGACTACAAAGGCATAGGCAACTAAAGCAAAAATACACAAATTAGACTACATTAAACTAAAAAGCTTCTCACTTTTTTGAGTGAGACTACAAAGGCATAGGCAACTAAAGCAAAAATACACAAATTAGACTACAGCATAGCAAGGGACACTATCAACAAAGTGAAACAACAACCTACAAAATGGGAGAAAGTGTTTGCAACTACACTTCAGATAATATATAAAAACTCAACTCAACAGCAAAAAACCAAATAACCTAATGTAAAAACTGGGCAAAGGACTTGACCAGACATTTCTCAAAAGAAGACGTACAAATGGCCAAAAAGCACAAAAAAATGCTCAAAAGCACTCATCAGGGAAACTCAAATTAAAACTACAATGAGGTATCACCTCACTCCAGTTAGAATGGCTATTATTAAGACAGAAAATAACAAATGCTGGTGAGGATGTGGAGAAAGGGAACTCTCCTACATTGTTGGTGGGATTGTAAATTGGTATAGCCATTGTGGAAAACAGTATGGAGGTTCCTCAGAGAACTAAAATAGATCTACCTTATGACCCATCATGTTAAGTGAAGTAAGTCAGGCACAGAAAGACAAATACTGCATGGTATTGCTCATATCTTTAATCTTTAAAAAACACAAAAACAAAGTGGTTCTCATAGAGAGTAGAATAATAGTTCCCAAAGTCTGGGGATAGGGGGATGCTGCGGAGGTAGGGAAGAGAGTTGGTGGACTAATGAGTACAAAACTATGCTATCTACCCTAAGTGACTCACTGTGCAGCATGTGTGTGTACTGAAAGAACACACTGTACCCCATAAATATGTACAAATAAATGTTAAAATAAAAAAATACAAAACAAAAAATACCAGCCATAAAGTTTTGGTCACTGTTGCACTTCTTTCACTGAGATAGATTTTGATATGATGCCATGAGTCTATTTGAAACCCTATAAAAATTCTCATTTTATATTCTATAAAATGTTGTAGAATAATTTGCTCATTACATTAATATTCTTTTTATAAAGATCCTTCTCTGAGAGAAATTCCTATCTGGTCTTAGTACCAAAAATAGTTTTTTTATCTTTGCTTTTATCTTATGAAAATTAGAGTAATTTCTTTATCTAATAGGTACAGAATTAAGTAACTTACTAGGTTTCCCTTTTTGAAATTCTTAGATTATAGATGAGTGTGTATATGCTTTTATATACACCTACATACACATAGCTCATTAAGATATATATTTTCTTAGCTCCATTTGATGGCCCCATTCTTGTTTTTCTTTATTCTTTAGCTCCCACTTTTAATTTCCACTTTGCCAATATATTGTATGTATTTTTGTAAGCTGTCAACATTTTTCCTATAACAAGGAGAGGTATAAATAAATCATGTAAATAAATTGATATTATCTGCACACAAATATTTGAGTATCCCTGTAACTAGAGGAAAGGTTTTTGTATACCAGCAGAGAATATCCAACTGTGATCTCTTATACTTAAATTCATACAGACTTAGAATTGGCTCCATGTATTTTTTCTCCCTTAGAGGAAATAAGAGCAGAGATTTGGGCACAGAGACCTTCTTTTTCCTCATTAGACTCAATATTTAACCTTGAAAGAATACACTTAATAAAAAGGAAGGTATCAAAATACTGTTGTGGCTGTACTTTTGGCTGTAATAAAAAGAGATAATCTAATGCCAAACAATACATTATCTAGACTTGCTCATAAATAAAAATGCTTATGTTTATAAATTTTCTTCTAGCCTAGATATTTGTTCATCAAAATATCCACTACAAATAATAGCAGGAATATAAAGCCTAACTGTAATATTTTTACATGAGCAAAATAAATAGTATATATAATGCTGCCAATAAAAGGAAAAATTCAGAATTTAGTATAATATAATCAGGCAGATATATAGGTCAATAGATAGGCCTATAGCTAAAAGTTAAGGGCAGTATTGAAATTTGTCCAATTAATACATTTTCGCCAAATCTGAAAAACTGCCTGTAGAAAAGCATCATTAAGTGAGAAATTCAAAAAGTGAAAAGGATTACTAAATAATATTTTGAAGCAAAATGCAGAAAATATTTTTTCCATTAATCAAAAATGTTTTTCATTACTGATACATCCCATCATAAGACTTTTTATTATTAGAAATTTTTCCAAAATAGGAATGTTTTTCTTCCCACATTTTAAGATTTGTTTAAAACAATAAAGCATTTTAATAGTTAAATATGCATTACCATTTATGGTTTATATATAGAAGAGGCATGGTCCCATCCCTCAAAAAGTCTAATTGTTACATAATAATGAAAAACCCACAGTAGTAAATAATGAAGAATGGTAATGACAATAAGTACCAAAGAATTTAAAGAGAGAAATATGTAAAGGCTATAATAATCATTAGATAAGCAGATAATTTATAGTAAAGATACATAGAACTTGCATTGGGGATTAAAAAATATTTAGAAATGGTAAGTGGAAGAAAAAAATAATATATAGGAAATGAAAATAAAATTGAGTAAAGGCAGAACTAAAGAAAGATTCTGGAGTGTTTGTAGAAAGTAGGAGAACTAGGCTAACAAGAATGAAAGATGATTGGAGAAAAGTATAAAAGAAAATGGGACAAGATAGGATGATATCTGATTATTCAAGACCTTGAAAACTAGCTACAGTGGCTAAATAGTGTGGAAAAAATAACACTGAACTTGTTGCGCAGTAAGAAAAGACAATGAAAGCAATATTTAAAGACAAGCAGTTTTAGAAAAATAACATTAGGAACCAGAAAGAAAGAGTTAAAGAGAATAGAGGGAAGGCTATTACTGTAATCAAGCACAAGAAAATAAAGTCTTTGGCCAAAAGATACTTTAAAGGAAAAACTAAAAGAATCAGGTGACTACCTGAATGTGGTAAGGAAATAAATTAGCCTAAAACTTTTTGCCTAGATGTGTAAGGAAATGGTATTTGTCATTACACAGACAAGGAATTTAGGAAGCAGAACTAGCTGTGGTATAACAGATGATTCCAGTTTAGGATATAGTGAATTTGAGATGAAATCCAAATGAAACTTCAAGTAAGTAGCTGGAGATGTGGGACAAGAGCAAGAGCAAAATTTTAAAAATGGTGATACAGACTTGGAAATCATTTTTATAAACATGACAGCTGAAAGTCAACATTTGTCCCTAAGACAAAAAATGTAGAGAAAGAAGACAAGGTCAAAAAGTGAGCTTTGAAGAATTTCTACTGAGAATATGAAAAGAAATAAGTGCAAGCAAAGAAAGAGAAGGAATGGTCAAAAAACAAAAAAGTAGAGAAACATGATATAGTGAAATTTCATGGAAGACAAGGGAAGAGAGTTGTAAGAGAAGAAATGTTAGTGAAGCATAAAGAGACTTATATGACCTCTGCTTTAACAGACCTTACAATCTCTAAAGAACAGATAAATCTCTAAAAGAATAGGTCTGCTTTAACAGACCTTACAGTCTCTAAAGAATAAAAGAATAGATTTAAAGAATAAAAGATCAGATTTAGTACAAACACAAACAAAATATTATGGCCTATGTAAGTTGTACTCAAAAGTGGGCATTTTGGGATGAATTGTGGTTACAGCCAGTTAAGTGATTCTAGGTGAGAATTGTTTTTAACTCACCTCACAGCTCCTAAGACGGCAGGCCCATACAGGTGTGTTAGAAGAAAGTGGCTGAAGAGGAGCCAGAAAAGGTTCTTCAAGCATTCTGGGATAAGGAAGGAATATAAATATAAACATATAGTACACACACACACACACACACACACACACACACACACACACACACGAGGCATTCAACTGCTTATCCTCTTAGTGTCAAAGACCACATATTGAGCTCATCAATAAGAAACTAACAATAACTACGGATTGATCTGATGGGTGTATTAACTGATGATCATTTTCTTTAATCATTACTATTTTCTTAGCTGCTAAATTAAAGGCATATGGCTGGCCAGTTAGCTCAGTTGGTTAGAGTGCAGCCTTATAACACTTAGGTCACGAGTTCAAATCCTCATACCAGCCAGCCACAAAAACTAGAATAAAATAAATAAAAACAACAACAACAAAAATAAACAGATAAAAGGCCTAAGTTTGTTCTTCAAGGTACCTGGAGTCTCCACAAATTCAAATACCTAACATACAAGTATCTCTCCCAAAGCTTATATTGTACTCTTCTCATTATATAATTATTTTCTATTTATCAAAAAATGAGCTAATAAAACATATTCAGATGACTTGTTAAGAATAACAATATGTAAGTTCTATGATTAAACATCTTAAATATCTTAATTCAAAAATATTCATAGAACAATTAAAAGAACATGAATAATACATAAATTATGTACATATTTACCTAAATTATCACAAACTGTTATTTAAAGGCAAAAATAAAAACTGAAACAGAAGTTAGCAAAAAACATTTGAAACATTCTACCACAGAGAAATTATATATATAAAAACATGATGAAACCATTAAAAATTTTAGGAACTAAAATGAATATTTCTTTATTCTAAAAACTCTATTAGGGTTAGATGTTCTCATATTGTTTCAAAAGATAACAGGCACGTGTCACTAAGAAAAAGTAACACTTCTGACATTTATAGCTTCTAGAGTAACCTCCTTATTGCCAAGATGCCATTAATTAAAAATATATTTGATGATAGTTTCTTCTATTTTCTGAATTTCTGATCTTTGCTGTAGTCGGCCAGCTTTAAATATGATGATTTATAGAAAGATTTCCATGGTGATTTCAAAAGATAAGCTCCTCTTTCCCACTGACTCACCTGGTCACTGACTTTTTGGGCAATGAGAGGGATGCTTGCGGATGAAGAATGTAACTACTGGTATTGTCTGCTAGAGCATCCACTCTTACAGTTGGTAAGTTTCTGTCACTGGGTTTTTCTTCAGAGACATCTTAACAACAGGAACAAGAACAAAGCAACAACAGAATCTTGAATAACACCCTGAGAATGTACCTAACTAGAATTTATATATTTGTAATAGGAAAAGGAAGAACTACTCTGAAGCTAAAGATAACAAAACTTACAATGCTTTATTGAGAATTTTTCTGATAAACGTGTTTACTTTTAAATACTGACTACTGTAATTTTGTAATTAAATTTTGGAACTTATATTGAATAGCTAGAATATAAAAATGGTAGAAATAATTCTTATGTTAAGAATTTCACAGTATAATAGGAAAATGTAAAACTCCTTTGTTTATATACTACGTGTACAGTATTTTCTGCAAACTATACTTTTTTCTTAAGTTTTAACAACTATTAACAAAGACAATCATAACACTAAGGTAAAAATATCTATCCTAAACCATTATCTATGAAAGAACAACAAAACAATGTAGCTATGATGTTAGAAAAGAGATTCAAATAGATGGAAAAGAAGGGGAGCAAAAGAAAGAGAACTGACAGGGACATTACCAAACAAGTGAAGTTCTATGGGTTAGGGTTAGGGTTATCTATATAAAAAGAATGGGGAGCACGATTCTACTTTCTAAATTTGAAGGGACAAAAAAAGAGGAAAAGAGCAAGAGGATAAAAAGGATAATTAAAAACTAATGAGTCACATGGCTAACAAAAATATCGGTAAAACTACAAATGTGAAAACTTCTCCTGCAGCTATTAGCACTCTATTCTTGTTATTGTTGCTGTTATTATTATTGTTATTGTAATTAAGAACAATTTTATGCTCACTGGTCATTTGGGAGGAAGCAGGAGTCAACCAGCTTCATAGAATTCCAAAATGAAATAGACAGCTAACCTAGATAGGAGTTGAAAAATGAACTTGAAATTTATTTGGACCAAGAAATTTTTTTCTATTTATTCAGTTCACAATCTTATCTAAAGAGATCAATGTTAGCACTGACTTTCATGAGGCAATTTTCTAAAATATGTATTTGTTCTTTTAAATGTTCTTAAATCCCCTGTATCCCATTACTACTCACCCCGAGGACTATTCACATCCATAAGATGCCCCTGAGGTATAATCACTTGCGCCATTCCTGTCTGCATAGATGGAATTACACGAAGCACCTGTCCATTTTCTGATGGGCTGGCAACGATCATCTTGGAAGCATTTAAAAAAAAATCAAATGCATATGCCTACACTGATTAAACAGAATTATTAGTTACATAAATTATTAAACACACACCCACCTGTATAGCCAATACTATCACTTCCCCCATTATATAGATGAAAACATTGAGCCATAAAAATTTTTCCAAGACCTTACAATTGATAAGTGGTGAAGCCAGGATTCAAACAGGCAGTCTCACCCTACATCCTATGGTCTTAACCATTATACATGCACAAGGCTCTGACTAGATTCAATACTTTACTTTTCACTATCTATTGTATTACCTGTACACGTTTGATCTATTTGTGTGGCAATTATTTGTCCCATATTTTAAGTCCTTTTCATTAGTTTAAAGATGGTAACTTGTTAGATGTCTAATTAAACAGGATTTATTTTTGTATCTCTGCATTTATAAATACCTTGTCTTGGTCCATAAAGAATAGTATAGAGTGCCCCAAAAGTCTGAAAACACAGGGAAAATAGTGTATTTATTGTACTTTTTTTCAGTTTAACAACTGAACCCACTGTCTCAAATTCAGAGAAATACCAACTAAGATACCTTCAGTTGAAGAAAAACATTTTGAACCTATCATTTGAAAATATAACTAACACACTATTTGAAACTAAGTTTATCTGATGTTTCCAGACTTTTTGGACACCCTATACACTTTATTACCTAACACACTACTCTCCTATTGACATAGTTTACCATTTTACTCAAAGTCTGCTGTCCTCTCTAGTGCAGGTAAATCTCCTTAACCATTTCAACCCACTTTCCCAGTAGCTGATGCTTCCTAGAGACTGCATTTCAGGTTTAAGAAGGTCATTTGAAGAAATGTGAATTTAAATTTGAAAAAAATTAAATCTGGGGGGAAAAAACTTCAACAAGGTAGAATGCTTTAGATATAATGACAAACATTCTCTAGAAATTAGGAGTAGGAATTGTTTCCTTCCCCCAATGTTTATCAAGTTTCTTGAGATAAAAATATCTTACCATACTTCTTATCACTTTGGCATGAAAAAGCAACTGCAAACTCTCATTATAACTGTTTACATTTGTTGAGTGCATATTAAGTGACAGGACTTCAGATGTACTACCTCATTTAATCCTTGTCACATGTATATGAAGTATATAGATTTTGTAAATGTGGAAACTGTCACACAGAGGTTATAAAACTCATGCAAAATCACATAGAGCTATTTGGCGGTGAGCTAAAATTCAAACCCAAGTAATCTGACTCCCTTTAACCACTATTTTGTACCGTCTCTGAATATTTGATGATGTTACCTAACATTAAAAAAAGACAAAAACAATAAACAAAAACCCTGCTGGACTTTAGAAGGCAAGACTAACTACGTTGTTTTAAATTCTTCATCCCTTAACCATGGCTCTGGTAGGAAGGAGAAAGGAAGGATGACTCAGAGGAAGCAGTAGTTCCAGGAGCAAGAGAGCTGGAGACCCCCTCAGAGATCCACCCATCTTCACCCACCTTGAGACCAGGCTTGGGTGGAGCAGAAACCCCCAGAGTCCAATGGGGAGGGAGGGGTCTCTAAACTAATGGTTCTGAAAGAGGCTGCCCATTGGAATCAGCTGAAAGGCCTTGGAATGGCAGGATCCTGGCCTCACCTTCAGAGATCCTGGTATAATTGGACGGGGCACAGTTTAGAAATCAGGACTGTTAAATCTTCCCAGGTGACTCTTATCTGCAGCCTGAATCATTCTCTGCATGCACCAATGGTGTCTCCACTTCCCAAACACCACCCATGGATGCCAATCTATTTTAATCCATCTAGTAAGAAAACTGTTGGTTCTACCATCCACTTAACTCTACTGATTTTTCAAATCCTCTCTAGGGTTTCTTCAGAGTAACTGGGGGAGAAATCAGTGTCTGACCTGGAAGCCCCTTTTTCATTTAGCTGTGTTGATTTGCTCAAGATTTTTTTGGGTGGCAGGGAAGTTGTGGTTGGAGCTAGATCGGTCCTCATCTATCTAAAACTGGCCACAGAGGAAGTGACTGGGAGAATCAGTGTCTGACCTGGAAGCCCCTTTTTCATTTAGCTGTGTTGATTTGCTCAAGATTTTTGGGGGTGGCAGGGAAGTTGTGGTTGGAGCTAGATCGGTCCTCATCTATCTAAAACTGGCCACAGAGGAAGTGACTGGGAAAAATGATTGTTAATACCCTGCAGGGTACTCCATGAGGACCTGGCATTGTGGATACACACAGTAGATGGTCGGCAATGGTCTGTTTGGTTCTTTTCCATGCTCAGCTGCTCACTAGATGCTGGTGAGGGGTGCCCAGATGCAGGGGGGCTCCTGAAACTCACTACAGGTGACACACCCTGCATATAAGGAATAGGTTCTAGAGACACACCAGAAAGGGAAGTAACCTGAGGAGGTGTCAGTGAACAAAGTGGCAGCCTGAGGAGGTGTCAGTGAACAAAGTGGAGACACTTATAAATCACTTGTTTCATCACAGTTTACCTAATAATGACCACTCACATTCACTGGCTGCCTACTCTATGTAGGCCCTCTTCTTAGTACTCTCCTTCTAAACTGGGAACAGTACAAAGTCAGCAACCATGTCTTTCTTTAGTCACCATGGAGGCTTCAGCACCTTGAGGATCCTGGCCCAAAGTGATTAAGCAAAGTAGAACTACTGAATGAGTTAGGGCTGGCTGGGTAGCTCAGCTGGTTAGAGTACGGTGTTGATAACACCAAGGTCAAGGGTTTGGGTCCCCTTACTGGCCAGCTGCTTTAAAAAAAAAAAAAGCCCCCGCCCCACCCCAACTACTGAATAAGTAAATAAACAACTGAGCCTATAATATTGGAAGACAGTAAAAACATTTTAATACCCAGTGCTGGCTAAGCTGGGGGCAGATGGACAGTGCCATTTCCAACTGGGATCACTGGTCTTTTCTTTTAGGAGTGTGAGTGACAGTTCACATCAGAACATGATAAACGTTCTTTGACTCAGTGATCCAATTTCCAGAATTTATCCATAATACTTGATGTGTGGAAAAACAGCCACAATTATTTATTTATAACAAGAAAACATTTGGAATAGCCTCCATTTTCAACAACATGGCAGTGATTGAATAAAAAACTCAGAAATCATATGATAAGATGCTCTTGATTCTCATATCAGATTTACCAACCAGGAAGGAGCCTAGCGATCTGCTTATTATTAAAGACACCTTTAATAATTCTGATGTTCACCAGAGGAAATCATCATTTTTAGAAGAGGATGTTTAATTACTTGAAGACAGTCACATCATATTACTGAACAAAAACACAGGTTGTAATAAAGTGTGCACAAAGTGAGCCAATTTTCATTTGAGAAACTCCATTTGATTATATTGTGTATACACACATGCACACGTACACTCACACATATAATTTCAAAATTTCTGCATCAAAACATCTCTAGTAGTTCTCTCTTGGTGATATGCTTATGGGTGATTTTTTTTTCTTCCTTTTGCAGATATATAGACTTAAAATTTTCTACAGTAAATATGCATTTTGTAATAAAAAGTTATTTTTAAAAACAGCAGATGACCTTTGAAATATAGTGATTAGCAACTGGATACTTGGGGAATATACAGACCAATTGGAAAATGAATAGAACCCACAAGCTGATGCTATACCTTGATTAGAGCTATGGCAACTAATAACAATTAGAAGCAAGTTTAAAGAAATAAATCTAGTAGGGGTTTGATGTTTGTAGGCTGGTTGTAAAATTGTGCAAACAACTACTGTTTTAAAACTAAAAAAATAATAATAACTAATTGTGCTGTTGGCACAAAGTTAAAAAATAAATTCTTTACCCCTTATAATGAGATTAAATACTTGTGAAAAATATGATTCCATTCATTCTTTTTTTTTTCTTTTCTACCCCTTATAATGAGATTAAATACTTGTGAAAAATATGATTCCATTCATTCTTTTTTTTTTTCTTTTCTTTTTTGTGACCAGTAAGGGGATTGCAACCCTTGGCTTGGTGTTGCCCGCACCGTGCTCAGCCAGTGAGCACACCGGCCATCCCTATATAGGATCCGAACCTGCTGCGGGAGCGCCGTTGCGCTCCCAGCGCCTCACTCTCCCGAGTGAGCCATGGGGTCGGCCCTGATTTCATTCATTCTTAAAAAATAAGAGTGCTGTTTTTATTTTTTATTTTTTTTCCTTTTTGTCTTTTTTTGTGACCGGCAACGGATCGCAACCCTCAGTGTCGTGCCCGTACCGGACTGGGACCGGCAACGGGATCGCAATCGCAACCCTCAGTGTCGCTCCCGCACCTCGCTCAGCCAGTGAGCGGCCGGTCTGTATGTGGGATCCGAACCCTCGGCAGGAGCGCCGCCGCACTTCCCAAGCGGCGCACTGTAGCAGTGCGCCACCAGGCCGGCCCCATGTTTTTATTTTTAAAGTCATTAAACACACATAATTTTTTTAGAATTTACTCAATCATTTGAAAATTTCACAATTAAGACTGATCTGTGGAATATCACCTTAATTTTGAAACTGTTTCCCAACAAAGGAGAAAAGTTTCCTCCATTTTCTCCTTCCTTAGCTGATTTCATCTGGTACCTAAAAAGCTATTTTCAATTCATGCAATTTGACAATGGTGATGATATTACTTTACCTATTAAAAAAAAAACAACACAACAGCTAAGTATCTTTACTCTTTGCTATGAAAGCAAAAATAGTTTTGAAGACTCATCTGCTATATTACATTTTCTTTGAGGCAGACCATAAAAACTATCAGAAAACCATAGCTTAGTAGTCTTATGCTTACTGGGCTCTTTGTGTACAATATTTCTAATAAACCTAAACACCAATCCTGTTTCTCTCCAAAACCTCTTCATCCACTGCAGATTCATCCACTACATAATCTTTATTAGTTCCTTGACAGTTTCTACATAAAAAGTCATATTAGAAAAAAAAAAGTTATATTTCTTTCATAAAGGCCCATTTGTTGGGAGATGTTGATAATGGTAAAGGCAATTCATGTGTAGGGACAGAGAATATACATATATAGAAATCTCTGTACCTTCTGCTCACTTTGGCCATGAACCAAAGACTTCTCCAAAAAATAAAGTCTGTTAAGATAAACAAACAAACAAAAAGCTCTACTAAATGTCCTAGAATATCATCACTTTCTGATCTTGACTTCTTTGAAGAAAATTATTTCTTACATCGTTTCTTACATTTACTTCCATGCTTCATATCACGTTTTCTACTTCATAGTTTCAAATAACCCTCTGTGCCATCTCCTACCTAAACAATAAAATTACCTTTATAATCACTTTTATAGAAAGTTTAATCCAATTACAAAGAGAGTGGTAACCCCAACTTTTTTTACACTCACACAAATAAACAACTTTGCTTTTTAAAAAAGGTACCATGTGTTAAATAATAATCCTTTATACATTTAGACTCCTTGATCTGTTGGAACATACAGACTTTCTAAATGTTCTGAGATAGAAACTAGAATAAATATCAAATAATAAGGAAAACTACATTAGTGTTTCATTCTGGACATGAAAATCATAATGTGGTTGGTTCACACCTAGATTATTTGTTGCATATTAACCTCTGCTGGTAATGCAGTATGGTTACAGAAGCTTACTCTTTCTTTGCTTTTCAGATCTGGCATAGGCGCACAAATATGTTGAGCCTAAACATAAACAAAAGGGACCCACCTACACTTAGCAACCTCCTACCCAACTACTCTATACCCCAGAATCTAGATAACTCAATTTAGCTGGATCATAAAAGAGTGAAATGGCATTAATTAACTCTATAATGCTCAAGACTAGAAACAGAAACAAGAGTTAATTCTAGGTAAACTAGCTGTTTACATGTGGTATAACTTAAAATTGAAGTTATTATGCTTTTGAAAAAATTAATTTTTATTATGAAAGTAATAAATATTTATTGTGGAAATTTTGGAAAATTCAGGTGAACAAAGGAGACATATTATTCATAGTATTACTTATGCAAGTATATTCTTATGAAGCAGAGAGCAGCTTAGAAGATTATTTTGGTAATTTTCCTTATTTGAATCAAAACCATCTTTCATCTTTCCTCTTCAAACTATAAACTTGTACAAAAATACTTTAAGCTAACAGTTTAAAGTAGCATTCTCATCTTTTTTATCTTTATGCATTGTTATTCACATGACACATACATACATACCTATGAAGATCAACAGTATGTCTAATTCCCAGTATACCAGTGGTACCTCCATTGATTTCTTTTTCTTTAAGAAAGCATACAAGCATGTGGCATGCAAGTTAGCGTAAGATGTTGATAAATCAACACCTTGAGTTCAATCAACTGTATATATATGTATATTTTAATATGTAAGTCACATGTAAACTCCAGCACTTTAGCACTGGTTACAGATTATGTCACATTTCCATCTGATCACAAAGCACCAGTGTGCCTAGACATAGCAGCTAAGAAGTACTGGTTTAAAGCACAATTTGTAGTCTTGAAAGGAAATCTTTTAAAACCCTTACATAAAAATGAAAGCCATGGAAACAGTATTTTCAACACAATGTAAATCAATAGTGTCAAGAAATTACGGTCACCTAGTAAGACTAATACATTTTGCTAAATAGCATAAAACTGGTTATTTATAAAATATACTCACCATTGGTGCATTAGAATCCCCCAGTGACTGAAGTTCATATTGAACAGCTTGCCCATTTTGGTCCAGTAGATGGAATTGCTCTGCAGAAAGAGTCGGTGTCTGAGTCACGGGCTCTGGTATTTTCTGTGATGTCGGTGAATTATTTGCTTCAGGAGTAGTGACATGCAAAACTGTAGGAGAGTCATTTTGTCCAAAGGAAGGATCTCTGGAGTCCACACAGGTTAGATGCTTTTCCAAAGAAAAAAAAAATCACTTTGGCCTTTGTAAAATACACTGTCACTATTTTTAAAAAAATACAATGTGTATAATATAAATGGGAATGCGTTCATTTTTCAGTTAATAGTTCATTTTACTTTCTGCAAGAATTATCAAATCATACAGATTATAATAGAAAGTATTTCTTAAGTAATATTGTTGATTTTTATTATCTCAATTTTTTTTTTTTTTTTTTTTTTTTTTTTTTTTT